CTACATATTGCCTCATAAAAAAGGCGGAATTCTATTTGGTAGTCATTTCATGGATAAGGTGACTTTGAGGTAGGCAGACTTCTCTATAAAAGAGTAAGGTCTGGAAACATGCAGCTAAAACTCAAGGAGACTAAACCCCTCAGAATCTAATTATTGTTTTTCAGTGAATTTCATCCAAATATTAATAAAATTATATATCAACAGCATGAGTTTGTTAATTACAGATCATGAACAAAGTTATCAATGACTAACTGAAGCACATTTCAATATAAATATTAGGCCACAAAAATGTTATGACATATAGTTATTGGTACCTTTTTCACTTGCTTTTATAAAAACAAAAAACTGGGCTGGGTGCAGTGGCTCATGCCTGTAATCCCAGCAATTTGGGAGGCCGAAGCAGGCAGATCACAAGGTCAGGAGGTTGAGACCATCCTAGTTAACATGGTGAAATCCCATCTCACTAAAAATACAAAAAAATTAGCCAGGTGTGGTGGCACGTGCCTGTAGTCCCAGCTACACGGGAGGCTGAGGCAGGAGAACCACTTGAACCGGGAGGCAGAGGTTGCAGTGAGCTGAGATCGCAGCACTGCACTCCAACCTGGGTGACAGAGCAAGACTCCATCTCAGATATAAATAAATTAAAATAAAATAAAATAACAAAAAACTAAAACTCACTGATAATCATCAACTAGAAAAAAAAATTAATAATGAAGAAATAAAAAATAACTAAGGAAAAAATTAAACATACTTTCCAACTTGATTTTAGTTTAAGTGAATTGTAAATGTTAACTTTTAAAATTAAAAACAAATGCAATACTGAAGGATCATAAAAACACATGCCAAGGTTTTGTCATTCAATTCTAAAACTTAATATTTATATCTGCCAAATACTAACTCAACTTCCTTACTAGTATTGTTCAATCTACCCAATTCAATGTTTGCTGAAATTCATAAGCATTTCATCTTACTTTGAAATTCAATTTTCAGGCTGGGCACGGTGGCTCACGCCTGTAATCCCAGCACTTTGGGAGGCCAAAGAAGGCAGATCATCGGAGGTCAGGAGTTCGAGACCTGCCCAGCCAAAATGGTGAAACCCCATCTCTACTAAAAACACAAAAATTAGCCAGGCGTGGTGGCGGGCGCCTGTAATCCCAGCTACTCGGGAGGCTGAGGCTGGAGAATCGCTTGAATCTGGGAGGCAGAGGTTGCAGTGAACCAAGATTGTTGTGCCACTGCACTCCAGCCTGGGTGACAGAGTGAGACTCCATCTCAAAAAAAAAAAAAAAAATTCAATTTTCGTAGTATACACCTCGATGATTTTCTTTGCCCTTCATTTTCCATTTACTAAATATATGAACTATCAAAACATAAAGCTGAACTATCAAAACATAAATCCATACTATCTAAAGATAGCTGAAATCATTTTTGCTTGCACTTTTACTTTTAAATACAAATATATTTTGAAGTATGCTTATTTGTGTAATTACAAATATTTCTGAATGCCATGACTTCACGTAGATGTGCAAACATCTAACTACCACCTCACAGGTATGCAGTTTTTAACAGAAACTACCAAACTGCCCTCCAAAGTAACTGAACTAGTAATTTATACTTCTATTAGCAATGCAAGAGTTCCTATTTCCCAATCACTTGATTTAATATCTGCCAATCTGACAAGGGGAAACTGACCTCATTGTTGCTTTAACAGAAGACTTTCAATATTGCATCCTGTATGAATTATCTATTTTCCAACAGCATACATATGCTGGTATTTTTCCAGCCCAATTTCTGTTATGTATCTGTTTTCCTTTCTCATTAAAAAATAAATGTCCAAATAAAAAAACTTAATAACGCCCCTGTACCTCTATCCCTCTGACTCTTCCTAGGGACTCTTCACTAAGATAGGATATATACTTCTGGACTTTAAGGAAATAAGTATAACCAGCTTGACAGAGAAAAGTATGATAAAAATGTCCATATGGGCAAGTGCTGGCATAAACCATAACATAGTTTGTGACTTTAATATAATGCTCATTCCAGTTCCTGTTGGTTTTCTGGAAGTAGAGTGATATTTTCAAATTAAAACTCTAAAATTAATCTCATAACAGCATGCAAAATAGGTTGAATTGGAGAAAAGAATATTGGGGTACAGACTTAAAATCTGAAGTCATCGGATATGTGGCGACAAATGTAAGAACAGAGCTTTAGATTAAGAGATGAAGTATTACCTACACAAAGATGAGAGTCAAAGCTGAAATAAGGGATATGCTGTTGACAAGGGAGACAAGTGGGAAAGGGGCAAAGGCCTCAGCCTCAGGGTTCACCCAGTAAGGAAATCCAAAAAGAATTAGGAAAGAAGAGAGAACAATTTTGAAAATGAAGAGAGACAAGCAAAGTTGGTTTTCAAGATGACAGAATGAACCATAACAAAATTAAGATCACTATAGAGAAAACTGAGCAAATATCATTACTTTTTTCTATATGATATTAAGATGTTCCTATCCTAAACTACACTAAAGTTGTGTAATGGAAACAGCATAGTCTAAGATGACTTTAATTCAGAGTTTATGAAAAAAAGGTAAGGTAACTTGCTTATATCCCACCTCCTTTCAGAATATAAAGTAAATAACATATAAAGTCAGGACCAAGGAAAGGAGGAAACGCAAATATCTCAGTCATGTGAACTGATGAAATTGGTGTGGTTAAGCATCAAAGTTACTCTGAACTTATTTATCAACAGAGCAAAAGGTAAACAGTGCAACTCACATAGTTTCATATAAGACAGATGTATAGCAATTTCTCAAGATAAACATTTTTATGGAAACTAAAAACATTAAAAACCTTCATGTGCAAGCCTGAAATTCAAAGGTCAATCTCTTTAACAGGCTTTACAAAAATGAAGCAGCAATTTTTTCTCATTTATTTAATAAATAGTTATGTGTCATTTAACACACGCCAAATACTGTTCTAAGCCTTTTACAAAATGTTAATTTTCTCATGGTTATTTCTTAATAATACTACATAAAATCTGGCACAGTCCTGAGTGAGTGCTAGCATACCAGGTGGACTGCTGATTGAGGGATGACCTATGCTTTGGAGGCTAAGCATTAGAAAGGATAACAGGATCAACTGGGAGCTTATCTCCCAGGATAAGAGAAATGTTTGTCACATAAAGGCAAAAAGAAAGGAGCCAAAAGAGGAAAGCTACATTTGGAAACCAGATCATCCAGGAAATAGAAACTTTAACCAATTAAAATACTTTCTTCACAACCTTGAGGCCATTGCTAAAAGGTGACTTGTATTAAGAAGGCAATGAAACTAGAAACTTCTGGACAAGTAAATCACAGAAGCAGCTCAATTTCCTATTTGACAAGTGGGAAAAAGGAGAGGCACTAGAGCCACTGCAGAGACACAGACCTGAAGATATAATTTTACTAGAAAGCAGTTCCCATCCTGTAGCCTTTAAGATTAACTTTTAAATGGTAGTGACTGCATTTTGCAATTCTGTAACTTGGGCACTTGTATGTAAACTCGTTACTTGCTTGGTAAACCCGATGATGTTAAAGTGAGTCCCAGATGAGATTAAGTATCATACTAGTCCCTAAAACATGAGAGAAGTACAAATTTAACAGGAGTATAGCTTTTCAGAACTTGAAAGGATTTAAGTCATCTAACCTAAGATATTAAATAACTTGTCCATGCTCAGGACGCTATTTCGTGGCACAAAACCAACATCACAAAATACCACAAATTTCGCCCTTCATCAAGTGCTTTTTTCAAATAATCTTTTTCAGTATAGGAGAAGAACTTCACGAAAGTTTTTGGAAGGTCCCAACTTCAATTACAGGAAAACATCAAGCAGGCGTGAGATTGAAATTATAAGAATGTTCTCACTTTCAGTTTGACTCTAGAGCTGGAACTCTAGAGCTGGAAATAGCAGCAGAAATAAAAGGGAAGCAAAACAGGTTAGAGTGTCAGCGTACAAAGCCAGAAAAACAGGTATAATGAAAGCAGGCCGGTAAATTTTTACCCATTTTCGGAAAACAAAGTGGTCCATTTGTATTACATAAGACTAAAATATTTAGGAGACTGCTTTGCATATTAAGAAAAACCAATTTTGCTTTAAGACTAAACTACTGCGCTGTACACATACAGGATGAGTCAACATCCTATCACAACTAAGTCACAAAACCTACTTAACTCAGATTTTTCACTGAGTTAGTGTATTATGTCACATTTCATCTTGGCTATTTAACTTTTATTTCTAAAAATCTCCCCATCTCACCGAAGACCTGACAGGCCAAAGCTGGTCCCTAATGCAAACAGGTGGTCTATACTGTGTGCCCCATCTTCTCGGCCACATAACCCGATTCCTCCTAATCTCACTTCTGAAACATTGTTTCCGGTGCCCCAGATGGCTCTACACGTGCCTGATGTAGCCACTTCAGAAATATAAAGAGCTCTCTGTCACATCTGGTTTCCAACGGGATGATGGCAGAAACCAAGGGAGGGCAGGCAAAGCGGAAACGAGCCAGGAAAGGCGACAAGTCAGGAAGGTAAAGGCTCTGCTGAAAGCCCAACTCCTGAATGTCACTCGGTGGAGATGTTCGTGCGGCATCGCCCACGAACGGCTGGGGCGGGCGGCCAGGCGCTGCAGCCGCGAGCCAGGGAGCTGAGCACGCGGCGCGGGCAGGGGAGCGGCCTCTCTTGCGCTAGGACGCCAGGCGAGCCCATCAGGCCCCACCGCGGCCCCACCCGGGCGACCCCCGCCGGGGGCGGAGAAGGGAAGTGGGAGCCTGGCGGAGAGACGCGGGCGGGGAAGGCTCGGGCGGGGCCGGGCCTAATCACATGGCGCAGACGGCGCAGGCCGCCCGGCACCTCTTTCTTTCTCTTTTCTAGAACCTCGGTTCCTATCCCGCCCCACCGCAGGTCCCCACACACCCCGAGCCTGGGCCCCGAGCGGAATGAGGCCTCCTGCGCCTCGCGGAGACACTCACTTTTCACCTGAGGCCACCAGCTCTTTGCCCTCGCTGTTGCCAAACGCGTCCGTCTCCCCGGGGCTGTCCTTGGGGCCGGGCGCCGCCGGGGCAGCGGGTGGCGACACCCCGGACTGCGGATGCGTGCTCCCCTTGCCCAGCTCCTGCAAGATCTCCGAGGGAGAGCTGGACAGGCCCCGCACAAGGGGCCCCGCCGGCCAGCCGCCCCCGCCCCACCACGGGTGGAGTCGCGCGGCGGCAGCTGGGCCCGCGGCCGGCCGTCCCCCGCTTCGGGGACGCCGGCACAGGGTGACCAGGGGCTGTGCCCGCCGCAGAGTCGCGCTCACGCCGGCTGGCGACCGCAGGAGCAGGTCCCGCAGCATCGCCGAGCCTCGCAGCCGCATCATACCGCCGGGTCCGTCAGCGGCCGCTCAACAGGGGAGGATGCTCCGGGCGTGGGCTGCCGCTTTCCTCGGGGAACGCGGTCTGTGGCGGGGCAGTGAAATGACAAGAGGAAAGGGCAGCGACGTGGGTGTGGTTCTGGCTCGGACTCCCGCAGCGGATGCGGGTGCTGCTGCTGCTGCTCCTGCTGCTGCTGGTCCCTAGGTTCGCCGCGACCGGTTCTCCCCACACCGCCTAAGGCTCTGCACTGAGGCTAAAGCGCAGGGGAGGGCTAGAGACATTCGGCTCTCGCCGACGACCCGCCCCCTTTGCCCGTTCCGATTGGCTGAAATCCTCGACCTCTCTTTTGATTGGCGATTAGGGCAGTCAAATTTCTCTCGGCTCTGGGTGCGCGGAGAGTAGGGCGGGGGATTGGTGGGGAGCGGGGAGAGGAGTCAAACTGACGTGTGCAGCGGCTGAGCCAGGCCCGGCTCCTCAGTAGCCGCTTTCCGCGCGCGGTGCCAACTCCGAGGCTAGCCTAGTTGGGTACTAGGGGCTCTGGGTTCTCGCATTTGTGAAGCGATGGGCTCCTCAGCTCCGGGGATTCGAGCTGTTGGGGAGACTCATGGGCGAGAGCCCCCGCAGCCGAGGGCTGTGAGGTCAGCAGGTTTGGCGGGGCTGAGTCTGGCCGAGCTGTTGGAGCTTGACCGGTCCCAGCTCGCATCTGGCTCCCAGGTCAGGGCATCTGCGAATCCTCCGAGAGCAGCCCCGGACGAGCTTCATCCCTCTCCCAAATGTAACATTTGCTTGAAACTTTCCATGATTGGCTACTACCCAGACGTGAAATGTTTTGGAAAAAATGAGCACAATCCTTTCAGCTATGTGACTTAAGCCAATGGAGGGTGGAGGTGGGGGGAGGACGACGAATGGGGGCGGTGCGGAATCCAGAAAACGACAGCTTTTTAAAAATTAATTTTTAAATGTACACCGATACTTCAAAAATAGTTTTGAATAGCAATGACTCCGTTAACGCTAGTTTGCTTGAAAGCAAAATTGTAGATACTTTTCTATTTTAAAAACTGCTTCACTGTTTTTAAAATAGAAGCGTTGGAATACGGGTTCTCTAAGTTATTTCAGCATCACTTTATCCATTTATCCTTTTGGACCTGTGGAGAAAGAGCCAAGAACCTGATAAACTGAGTTGTTCCCTGAGCCTACATACACATTCCATTCCAGGACAAAAAAATGTTTTTAGACGATTTCCTGAAACAATTAGGTTTAAAAGGCGTAGATCCACGGAGTTTAGTAAGATGTTTTGGGGGTTGGTGTGTCGTTATTGTGTCGTGTGTGTGCCTTTTGAGAAAGGGTCTCACTCTGTCGCCCAGGCTGGAGTGCAGTGGCGTGATCACGGCTCAATGCAGCCTTGAACTCAGGGGCCCCGGTGATCCTCCCACCTCAGCCACCACCTGCTAATTTTTTTTTTTTTTTTTTTTTTTGTAGAGATGGGGTTTCGCGAGGTTGCCCAGGCTGGTTTTGAGGGATCCGCACCCCCTGAGCCTCCCAAATTGCTGGGATTACAGGCGTGAGCCACCGCGCCCAGCCTAATGAGATGATTTTATGAAACTAGAAGGTGTATGTCAGGTGCGTCATTAATTGATCACCGGATTTAGTAATCTAATGAACTGTAAAATATTTTAATAGATTAATAATTAGGAAATCTGGCTGTACCCACAGGTTATGTTGACCTTTGGCATGTTACAGCCTTGCTGTGTTTTAAGTTTTTTTTTTTTTTTTTTTCTATCTGCTGTTTAACCAGAAGAACATGGAAAAAACTATCATGTGTAAAACATAGTCACCTTTTTTATTAAAAAAAAAAAAAGGCAGTTAGGACAATGGCAAACTACTTAGATGGCTTTTATTACTAATGTTACTTGTCCAAAAATGTTGATGAATCCAAGTAATGATATATTCAGGAATAGAGACATCAAGTTTCGGAGGAAAGGTAACAAATATTACCCCTGCCTAACCCTGACTTGTTAATGACTTGCAAACTTTAATATTGTCCAGTATCTTAGCTGCAATTAGTTATCAATTTTAACTGCCTCCTTTTTCTCAACAACAGGAAGCAACTGACAATCCAGTTACTATTTTCCTCTCAGTTTTTCCCTTAATTTCTCCGAGTTTCTTGAAAATTATTTTAGATATTTAAAGGTTTAAAGGCTTTATAGTACACTTAACAAATAAGAAAGCTAACCTAGTAATAGATTATTTTCTAGAGTTTCTAGTTTCTAGAGTTTTATTTTGTAGTAGTTTCTAGACTTTCTGCTTTTGGGGAGAATGGACAGATATTACTCCCAAAATCTGGAAGAATTGAGTTCACTGAAATTTAACCCCTTGTTTGAGAAGGCTAATGAAAAGGTTATAGACAGCCAAGAAACTATTCTAAATTGAATAAAAATGTGACTCAATACTTTCATTTGATTATTTTCTTCATCTTATATAATTTTTTAATCTTTAAAGATATTTTTATTCTACAACTTTGTAACCATTACACAACTTTGGAGTTTCCGTTATGTTAAATTGAATCATATCATCACGTAAAATAAACTCATGTAATCATCATGTAAAACATATAAAAATATTTGTATACATACAATAAGTAGTCCACCAAAATATCTGCAAATAGAAAAAGGCTCTCCACATTAACTATGGTTGAGTTGTCAAATCTACTCTTAGACTTCCTTTTTGCTTCTAAGTGCAGCTACACTACAAAGAGTTGCTGTCCCATAGCCATCATGAGGTAATCAACCATCAAAGGGAATAGTTGGAATTTATGCACTTTGTTCCTATTCTAACTTGAAGAAGGGTTCCTGTGCTTCTGTGTTCCTGAGCTTCTCTGTTCTGTCGAAAATTACAGAAGGCTAATGTTTCAAGATCATAATAAAATCCATGTATAGGCTGGGCACGGTGGACTCATGCTGTAAATCCCAGCACTCTGGGAGGCTGAGGCGAGCGGATATCAAAGTCCGGAGATTGAGACCATCCTGACTAACATGGTGAAACCCCGCCTTTACTACAAATACAACAATTAGCTGGATGTGGTGGCATGCACCTGTAATCCCAGCTACTCGGGAGGCTGAGGCAAGAGAATCCCTGGAACTTGGAAGGCCGAGGTTGCAGTGAACCGAGACCACGCCACTGCACTCCAGCCTGGCAACAGAGCAATACTACATCTCAAAAAAATAAATAAAATAAAAAGTATATATATATATTCCAGGTTGTGCCTTCACAAAAACTTATTTATTATTTGTTGACCTAGAACTAAAAACCAAGTAATTCTCCTTTGACTAACAGCTTAAAAGAATTGCCTAAGCCTTTTTTTGAAATTCTTCTGTTTGGAGAATAGAGCAAGGTTCAGGAAACCTCTAAACAAGCTTCTGCTACTACTTCCCTTTCTTCTGTTGGTTTCCTGCTTTAACTGGCCAACTTCCTAGCCTCGCTGATAAGCCCTGCCAAACATGGCTTATTTTTCCAATACTGAATATAGATGTGTACTAAAGTAAGTACGGTAAATCCTTCATGTATAAAAAGTGGATAACATGGCCAGGCAAGGTGGCTCACACCTGTAATCCCAGCACTTTGGGAAGCTGAGGCAGGTGGATCACCTGAGGTCAGGAGTTCAAGACCAACCTCGCCAACATGGTGAAACCCCGTCTCTACTAAAAATACAAAAAATTAGCCAGGCATGGTAGTGCATGCCTGTAATCCCAGCTACTCGGGAGGCTGAGGCAGGAGAATCGCTTGAACACAGGAGGCAGAGGTTGCAGTGAGTCGAGATCTAGCCATTGCACTCGAGCCTGGGCTATGAGAGCAAGACTCCATCTCAAAAAAAAAAGGGGGGGGGATAATATTGGTACTTACAGGGTTGTCATGTGGAATAAATAAACAACACATATAAAGCACCTAGAATATGACAGTAGCACTCTGTAAGTGTTATAGCTATTGTTATCAAACCATGGGTAAATAAATTTTGACATGCAATATGATCAGTTTTTACATTTATTATTGAAAAGCCAAACAGGATTGTTTTAAATCATCTAATAATAAAATATTATTTAAGGGGAACCTAGAGATAATTTACTTCATTTTTAGAAAATAAACCAGTAATTTTCGAAGTATCTTAAAATAGAAAAAGACAAAGACAGTCAGATTAAGAAAAGCTGGGCTTGGAGGCCAGGCACGGTGGCTCAAGCCTGTAATCCCAGCACTTTGGGAGGCCGAGGCGGGCGGATCACAAGGTCAGGAGATCGAGACCACGGTGAAACCCCGTCTCTACTAAAAATACAAAAAATTAGCCGGGCGCGCTGGCAGGCGCCTGTAGTCCCAGCTACTCAGGAGGCTGAGGCAGGAGAATGGCGTGAACCCGGGAGGCGGAGCTTGCAGTGAGCCGAGATCGTGCCCAAAGTAACAGCTATTCACGAATAGCTAAAAAAATAAATTCCAGAGAAGGAAGAATCGCTAAGAAAGCGGGCCTCAAATATACATGTCATATACAAATACCTTAACATTTAGCAATTAAATCTAAAAATATATCATTTGCCATCTATGTAAATGAAAGTATACCTCTGTTCATTGTGACCTCATATAGAATGACAACAGATTTTCATCAAATTTGAGCAGCATATTTGAATGATCTGCCTTAAAATACTAACTATATGAAGTTCTTTTTGAGAGTTTCCTGGTGGCTGTAGTGGGGGTTGGGTGGGAATCAGCTATTTTTCTCCACTTAGAGTAATATGATGAAGATTTCAATTAGTTGAGTTTGTAAGGTAATATTGTTTATATTTATACCAGCATTATATTTATGGGAACTCCAAATATTAATTTTTCAAAATGATTTTAATCCTTATTTTTCTGTGGATTCATACTAAAAATAAATCAGGCTAAACCCCAGCCTAGAGAAAAGAAAGTCTTTCTTGTATATTACCAAAACCTAAAAAAAAAAAGGATTTTGTACATAGTCCAAAAGTCAGTCAAAAGGATACCTGCCTGAGAATGAAAACAACCTCTGTGGTAGATTATATTACTATTCCCAAATATTTTTGTCCCTCCCACTGGGCAGACTTTACCTCCTCACCTTGAATGGCAGTCTTGGCCTTGATTTGTTCAATGATATGTGACAGGAAGTGATATGCCACTGCTGAGCATAAACTCACTTGGTTCTGTCATCTCTCTTTTCCCTTTTAAACAAGATTGGCATGTCCCAGAGA